TATAATATTTTATTAAATAATCAATAACAATACTTTTAATAACATTTTTAATTATTTTTAATATAGCAATAATTACTAAATTTATTAACAGTATTTATTAATAACAATATTTATAATTTTAATTAAAATTAAAATTAAAGTAAATATCTATTTATTAACAATATTTATAATAATAATAATTATTAATTATAATCACTAATTATATATTTATTAAATTACAGTAATTAATTACTGTAATAATCAGTAGATTCCATTAATTACTGTAATTACTGGGTTGTGAGCTCTCAAGTGGGAATCTACTCGCACAAATAAATTCCATTTATTGCACAGACAGAGAATCCATTTTCTATATATATATATAAGGTTTATACATAGTTAATATTTTTATTTAAATAAAATATTTACAAATTAGAAGTTCAGAAATAGTTCATATTTTGATACTTTTTAAAGCTTACTTTATTTTAAAAGAACAATTAGAATGGATTCGGTTTTGAAGTTTCAATAATTGGCTTGGATTCGAATGCCATTAATTCATCGAGCATGTATCCGACCCGATTAGAGCCCTACGTAGAAGACCTTGTTTGGTCAGCCATGTAAGCTCTGGTCCACATTGCCTTGTGGCCCATCTTCTATTCATTTCTTCTACAAGTAATATTGACCATTGGAACTACAAAATGGACTTTAATCATAGCCAATTTGTCACATTGAGATTTGGCCTCCGTCCATTGTTGCAGTTGGGCTCTTATTTAATTTCACACTTCAATTGAAGACGAGGATTTTAAGTGATAAATCTTAGCAAATTTCAGTTTGTACAAAAATGAGTAGAAATATATAAATAAATGTAAGGGTAAATTTTTCAAACTATTCTTATGGTTTAGTTATTGATTAACTCTATCCTTACTATTTACATATTTTCTTAAAGTATTCCTACTATTTATGACAATTGACATTATCATTAAATGTTCACAGTAAAAAGGAAATATCTAATCTGTCCATTATTCCTCAAACTTTCGAAATAAAACCCAATTGATAAAATTTTTGAAGAAAACTGATTCATTATGAGTTTCTTGTAGAAGATGCTTTTTCAATGGGTTTGACCTCTGATGCTGGAGCATCAGCTTCTGGCTGCCATTAATGCACCCTGACTAAAGTGGAAACGGATCTCATCTACTTAGGCCGAAGATCCCGGAACCGTTTCATGAGACCCACGGCAGCTCAACTATATAAGGGTATCAACCCCTCCAGGACCCAAGTACGCATGATTATTTGCTCACTAGTACACTTATCATTCAACATTCAGCTCGCAATACTAACTTAAGCATTGAAGCGACCTCGTCGTGTTAGCCACCCCGGGTTCTCTGAGCTTCACTGTTTTGCAGACCGAACCAACTTGTCACGTAGCCAAGTTCTAGATCATCCTCCAGTTAGGAGCATCCCGATCGCGCACCATCAATACTCTCTCTCGATCCCTCATCTTCTCACTTGGCAACATACATAGGTTTCGCTCCTAGTCTCCATGCCCTGAGTTATCTATGATAAAAGGGTATTTTTGAGATTTTAAAAAAATTATTAGTCAGAAGGTGTCACATATTAATGGTCTATAACAAAGAGTTAATGGTAGGGGAGATTTTAGACAATTGTCAGAAATAATAGGGATACTTTAAAACAATATGTAAACAATAAGGATATAATTAGTCAATTAATTAAATATAAGGGTAGTTTAAGAAATTATCCCTAAATCTAAAAGCAAATTTCAAGACTAAAATCTACATTGACCTTAGGTTTGCTTCAATTTTAAATATAAAAACATCGGAAGAAAAATTAATTTCACTTTGGTTTTTCAATATAAGGAAACAACTGCAAAACCAAACCCCGTTACAAATTAGACTCAATAGTCAATTCTGCATTCACACTCTTACCAAATGCATCCTTATTTATTTGCACAAAACTTCAATTTTTTTTTATTCCACACACACACGTATATAAAGCTCTTGCATGTACATATTTATTTGCACTCTTCCCAAACTAAGCCGTAGGATGAATGGGTCTGTGGGGTTGATCTTTGTAGAAGTGAACCCTAGCGTGATTAATAATGTGATATAAAAAAAAATTAAAAAGAGAACAAAAAACTGAAACAGTAATATTAAATTTTACTTATGTTTGGTTTGAAGGAAAATGCTGGGAAAAGAAAGGAAAGGTAGGAAATTTTTTACAAACCTTGTATAGATTTTCTTGTTTGTCCCTTTCTTTCGCTTTGCCATTCCATATTTTGCTGGAGAACTAGTCGTAGAGTCGATTTTGCTGGATACAAAGTCAGCTAGGCGTAAATACAATGGTATTGAAATTTGCTGGACACAAAGTAGCCGGAGAACCGGAGACGTAGAGTCGATTTTTATACATAAAGGTGGTCGGTGAAAGCGCGGTCTATAACAGTGACAGTCAGTTTAGGCGCCTCTCATATCCTTACGTGGGGTTGCTGTCTCTCTTATTGCGAGCGAACACAAGGTCAAAATGTGGTGTGGGCCAATTCCGGTCCTTTCCCCTCCTCATTCGCTTTGCCATTCCATATTTTGCTGGTGCGCGCTGGTAGTCTGAAGCCTGTTTCTTTCTCAATCTTAGTCAAGCCTTTCAACCTCCTCCGTTTTGTTTTTTTCTGCCTCTTCTTCATTCCTTTTTTTTTTCTATTTAAATAGAAGGCTTGTTAGTAATGTTGATCTTGTTCTTGTCGTTGTTGTTGTTCTTCGTCTTCTTCATCTATCTTCCTGTTTATTGTTTACCAGTTGCTTAATTTCTTCTTTTCGGTGTTCCTGTAAGTCTGCTACTGGATAGATAAAAGATTTTGGCCAGAAGAACGTTAACAGAGGGAAGAAATGAATACTTGTGGTGGATCAACTAAACCCGACCGTAAGACTATTGAGAGGAATAGAAGAATTCACATGAAACGCCTCTGCTTCAAGCTTGATGCTCTCATCCCCAAGCACCAGAACGTCTATAGGGTACTCTCTCTCTCTCTCTCTCTCTCTCAGCAAATTAAAGAGCATACATGATACACCATTGTAACAGCCCAAAAAACAAGAAAGATGGATCGAATTAAAAATTGGCTATAACTCGCGTAATTTAATTTCGTTTTAATTAGTTCTTCTTTTGGATTCATCAGAGTTGTATTTGTCATCACCCCCTGTGGAGATCTTCTTCGATGAAGGTTTGAGAACTACTGGGTTTCAAAACTCTTTTTTCTATTACTATTATATTCCGTAACTACTTAATCCTCTTTCAATGTTTTCTCCCCCGGTGAGAAGCCCGGCTGGGGGTGGGGGGTATTATCTTCCACACCAATTCTATTGCAATTACAGCCAATTTTCAGAAATCACAATCCAACTTCTTTTAATGCGACATAAGATATTTAGTAGTTATTAATTGATTAATGCAATGGATGAGTTCCACAAGAGCAATCATGCTTAAATCCATCCGGTATTTTGTGTTTCAGGATGCAACCAATCAAAGAGATCGGTTGGATCGTGCCGCCAGTTATATAATGCAATTACGTGAAAGAATAGAAGAACTGAAAGAAAGGAGGCAATTAGTAATGTGTATAAAAGGAATTAATAGAAATATGAGAGATTCCATGAAAATCGATGATGTGGGATTGCCTGTGCTTGAACTTAGAGACTCGGGTCCTAATCTTGAGGTAGTTTTGATTAGCGGGTTGAATAAAAGCTTCACGTTTTATGAAATAATTTGTGTTCTTGAGGAAGAAGGAGCTGAAGTCGTCAATGCCAGTTTCGCTTGTGTGGGAGATAGGATCTTCCACACAATTCATGCTCAGGTAGTTTTTTGAAGTTTAACAGATAAATAGATATTGAGAGCTAACAAACTAACGAGGTTGTTTTTTGATTGTATCTTGTAATTCAGGTCAAGTGCTCTAGAGTTGGTATCGAAACTTCAACAGTAAGTGAAAGGTTGAAGGAGGTGGTTCATTCCATGAATCCAACATCATTTGCCTCTGGTAGCAGGATGGGAGGAGAGTCGGGAGACATACAAGATGATCAACCAATACGAATTAACTAGCAAGTTTGATGTGATTATGGAGCTAATTAAGTAGCATGGCGATTACAGACTGTACTGAGTTTCTTCCCCGTTAGAAAGTTGTTCAGGAACCGTATCAGTGTCAGTCGTCTGGTCTTTCAGATGATTGTCAACAACTTTAGTAATATAGAATATATACCAAACGGGTCAAAGTCGTCGCCTGGATTAAATGATAAATGAATAAAAACAACATATAATCGATTTCTGATTTCTCCCCTTGCCAACAACTTATGGGAATGTTATTGGATCACGGCAGTGGATTCGCAATTGAATATATTCCAATGTTAAAATTCCTTGGGAGTTCAGCTGACTACCTGGGCTGACCATTTCTAACCCCACTAATTAAATATGCATGCACAATTCGATCATTATCATCCGTGTTTTCCATGCTCAAATACAATTTTATTTGTACAGTGCTACTGAGCCATACACAACCTAAGGCTGCATGTGTTTGGAGTGTGGATAGTGCAGCAAAAGGATAAGTGAAAGCAGTGGAGCCAGGAATTTTCTCTTGGGGGCTATAGTGGTTTTTTTTTTTTTATATTAAGCTAATTATATATTCTTTTAAACTTGTCCTTTTTATACGTACACACCCCCGTGCCAAAACGAAAGGCATCTGCAAGATTACAATAATACCCCTCTGTTCAACTTTTTCCCTCGAATCAGAATTTGAAAATAGGCATATATATATATCCATCGATTGATGGTCGAACAAAACTATCGGTGGGTCATGGGATAAATCAACATGTGAGAGGAGAGAGAAATAAACCAAGGTGTTTCTATCGTACAAAAACAGATAATAGAGTAAATGGTCGGTCATGTTTAATTTTGTCGTAGAAAACAAAAATGATGCATGGGGATTACTTCACTTTGTTCTCTACAGTTGACTTGACCGAATATATTCATGTTATAAATAAATGTGTCTGATGGGAGAAAATCCGTGGAAAAAAAACAAAAGTTTTCAAAAGAGTGTTTTTGATAATGATAGAGAACAATTAATTAGGGTGAACCAGTCTTGAACCAACCCTACCCAATCTGTTACAGGGTAGGGTCTGGTTCCAAGTCTTGGAACTAACTCCCACCCAGGCTGGTTCTAAGGCTTAGGGGTTTATCCTATTCAAACCAACCCAATGGACTAGCCTTGGTGGAACCGATCTTGTCGGAACCTGTCTTGAAATAAACCCCATAATGCTTTTAGAGATGTGAAGATTTGAATCTAAGCATTCATGGTTACAAAAGTCATCATCTCACTTGACCATTGAGTTATTTAAGTGATTTGATTATTTGTTTTCATTTTAATATTTGAATGTATACAATAAATAGTGTAAAAGGTAATATTTACAAAATTTAAATTTAATTTATAAGTTTTTTACCATATAATGATAATCTAAATACTAAGTTATCAAATTTAATTAATATAGATAATATAAATTTTAAACTATATATTTATTTAAAATCAAATTTTTAAAGAATATGCTTTTTTCTATGAAGGGGGAGAATAAAAAAAGTACAAGTGCCACGGATAGACCCTGGAATGTAATTGACCTCAAAACCACCAATAAAAGAACCGACTCTCAAACCAACCTTCAAAAACCTGAAACCAACCCTTATAATATAGGTTCCAGTTTCTGCCATAAAATCAAACCGAATCGGCCATGTTCACCCGTAATAGAGAATAAGATTGAATTACATATAAAATGGAAACAGAAATTGAGGGTAAGTTTACGATGGAGAAAACCTTTGGATCTTAATATAAATTTGCCAAATATATATGGTTCTGCCTTACCTTTTTTTTTCCTTTAATGTTGCATTAAAATTAAACAAGCAGTGTGTGATAGATAAGTATTCACTTGGCATCCTCCTTTTGACACTTGTTAGAGACGTATTGCTTAGTTCAACAAGTACGGAAAAAAATATGTTGCAAATCCCAATTCAAATACGTTACATGTAAGCTAGGCGTTTTTGGTACTGATAAGGGCGAATTTGGCCCTCCAATGATATTGTGACACATGGCACCTAAGAACAAATAGGTGACACCCGAAACTGTTTTGGAAACAACTTGCCTTAGCCAAGTTGATGGTATCCCACCTGGCGGCTTGAGCGCGGCCTGGCACATGCATGGCCTAGTGGCCTGACCCTGGTGCGGCCTGGCACAGGCACGACCTAGCGGCTTGGCCCTGGCGCAAGCTGGCAGCCTAGCACAGGCACGAGTTGGTGACCTGGCACAAGTGCGACCTGGTAACCTAGCCCTGGCGCGAGCTAGCAGCCTGGCACAGGCATGAGCTGGCAGCCTAGCACAAGCACGAGCTAGCAGCCTGGCACAGGCGCGACCTGGCGACCTGGCCCTGGCACGTGCTGGTAGCCTGGCACAGGCATGAGTTGGCACAGGCACGACCTGGCACAGGCAGGACCTGGCACAGGCACGACCTGGCACAAGCACGAGCTGGCAGCCTGGCCCAGGCGCGACTTGGCGGCTTGGCACAGGCACTGACCTGGCGACATGCGAGACGTGCTCATCGACAAATTTGGCATGCATATCCTAACTCTCCCATGATCCTTGGAAGTTGGCCCACATGTCGAACGATCCGGAGGGTGGTCAACGTGCATGGCGGTTACCTCCAGGAATCTTGAACCACTTAGACGACCTCGTAGAAATCTCGGATATTGTGCGTTAAGCCCATGCCAAACAATGCCTATATAAAGGCACCAACCCCAAGGGCAAGGGGAGAGAGCAAATAAGCAAATAAGCATATTCTAACTCTCATACTTCATGATTTTTAGCTCACAATCTACTATGAGAGTACTGACTTAAGCATCGGAGCGACCTCACCGGGTTAGCCACTCCGGGTCCTCTGACATTTGGTTCCTTGTAGGACTTTAAAGAGCAAGGAAGCTCGTCACCTAACTTGCCCAGCTTGGCACCTGGTCAGTTCGGCACCTGCCCGACACCTCACAGGCAGCTCACCACTAGGTAGTTCACCACAAGGTAGCTCACCATAAGGCAGTTCGCCACAAGGTAGCTCACCACAAGGCAGTTCGCCACTAGGTAGCTCGCCACTAGGTAGTTCGCCACCAGGTAGCTCACCACCAAGTAACTCATCAAGGTAGCCCACCACAAGGTAGTTCGCCACTAGGCAATTTGCCACAAGGTAGCTCACCACAAGGCAGTTCGCCACTAGGTAGCTCGCCACTAGGCAGTTCGCCACCAGGTAGCTCACCACCAAGTAACTCATCAAGGTAGCCCGCCACAAGGTAGTTCGCCACCAGGTAGCTCACCACCAAGTAGCTCATCAAGGTAGCCCGCCACAAGGTAATTCGCCACCAAGTAGCTCATCAAGGTAGCCTGCCACAAGGTAGTTTGCCACCAAGTAGCTCATCAAGGTAGTTTGCCACCAGGTAGCTCACCACCAGGTAGTTCGCCACTAGGTAGCTCGCCACCAGACAGCTCGCCACTAGAGAGCTCCACTTCAGGTACAATTATCAGATGTAGAATTAATTGACATGTTTACCGCGTGTTCTTTTTTTTTACTTGGTTTTGTTTTCAATTATATGGAGATATTAATAAAATATGTAATTCTATAAGGAAAATTATAAATATTTTTTAACAAATAAAGCTAGGAGAATAAAGAGTTTTAGTTAGACTTTACCCACCCATGTAGGAGTGATCATTTACAATCTGGTCTAGTTGCAAACATATTTCAAACTTAATATATAAATTTGGGTGTTTTTTATTTTTATTTTCTTATATTTGAATTTGAGTTGAGATATTTAAATTTTGTATTTAATTTCCATCATCAATAAAAATAGGATTAATAGAAAATATTAAAAATGTGCCTAAATTTTTCTATAAATTTTTTGTATTTATTTTTATTTAAAACTTTTTGTTGTTTAATTATAACAAAATGAGTTGATCCGTTTTACCCAAATGTTTGAATTTCTTATGGACCACTTGGATGAAAGAATAGTTGTGTTCATGGGTCATTTGAAAAAACATGGATATTGTTAAAAGTATTGGATTTAGGTCTAATTAATTGATTTTATTGATGAAAAAATACCTTAAATATAGGATTTAATAAGAGAAAATAGCAGTTAATACCTTAAACATAAGGTTTAACGAGAGAGAATTCAATGAAGTGAAAAGTAATAGTTCAAATGACCTTACAATTAGAGAGTGACCAAATTTTAAGATAGAGGTATTTTAGTCAAAAAGAAAATTTCCACATTATCCTACTTTTAATAGTAGTATATATAGTATAATAAAAAACAAAATCCAACTACCATTCATATTTTTGTTCTTACTAATAATTAGGCACATGTGTTGAATGTGAGAAATTTTTCTTCATATTAATTAATTGAATTTTAGGTATGTCATAGTTAAGATAGAAATTGAAAATTAACAAAGGTAACAATATGATTAATAATAAACTTAAATGCTTATAGAAAATAACAATTATTATTATTATTGATGTAACCGTTTTTGGTCACGTACCATTTTTTGGGATGTGTAAAATTTTTTTTTGGCTAAGTACCTCGTGTTTGACCTGGTGGTGACGTGCCTTGGTGATGAGCTACTTGGTGGCGAACTTC